TTTTTGTTTTTGTTTTTTTTTTAAAGCAGTATAATGTTTTATTTTTTTAAACTGGGTGTTGGGTACAGAGGCATTGTTTTATTGTTATTATTTATACATACTTTATAAACATTCTTTTTATGACTAAAAAATACTTTAAAAAATTGTGGAGAAGAGGGGCGCCTGGGTGGCTCAGTCGTTAAGTGTCTGCCTTTGGCTCAGGTCGAGCCCCACATCGGGCTCCCTGCTCGGTGGGAAGCCTGCTTCTCCCTCTCCCACTCCCCCTGCTTATGTTCCCTCTCTTGCTGTGTCTCTCTCTGTCAAATAAATAAATAAAATTTTAAAAAAAAAAAAAAGATTGTAGAGAAGAATAATTATTGTATTTATGACATACATTTTTACTAATGCAAGTCTAGCAATAAAACTTACAAAGTGGGGCGCCCATACATTTTTACCACCTAGAAACACATATTAAGTGATAATCATTCCAAAGTATTCTTTATATACAGAAAGGATAGATAGAAGGGAAATTATTAGGATTCATTTAGTTAACTAGTGTGTGTAACAAACTGCCCTGAATCTTAGTGGCTTATAACAACAAAGCCCAGTTATTTACGCAGGCCTAGAAATTCTTTAAAGTTGGTAAAAGATTTGGTGCCCCAGCCAGTTTCAGAACTGCCCCCAAACATGGAGGAGTCTTTTCTTTCTCTGATTCCAGTGGCCTCTAGGCGAGCAAACTAGCTGTTGCCTCATATATATACATCAGTAACTATGGTCAATGTTGTTTCATTCCTTAAGACGTGTGGTTCCATGTGGCTGGCACATATAGGCAGTTAATGAAGACTCACGAACAAATGAATTAAAGTAGTGGTGCCTTTGTGGACCTGGATGCTTGATACCAGTATCTCTTTTCGCCTGGCTTAGGTATTTGGCTCGAGTAGGGGAGCTTGAAGCAACTGACACTGAAGACCTGACTCTAAATTATGGCCTTGTTGTGGACTGTGGCAGCAGTGGCTCCCGGATTTTTGTTTATTTCTGGCCAAGACATAATGGCAACCCCCATGATTTGCTGGACATCAAACAGATGAGAGACCGCAACAGCCAACCAGTTGTTAAAAAAATCAAGCCAGGTACTAATCAGAGTATATTTTGTTGTCAATCTCTTTTTATCTGTTGCAGGCATGAGAGAAGAGAGAAGAGGGAGAAGGAAAGCTACCCCCCATTTTTTCCTTGAGATTCTGGATAATGGGAGGGATATCTCATTCGTTGGTGCTCCCATCCTTGCAAATAAATAAGTGTTTAGGACCTTAAGCAGAACTTTATGGAGAATCAGTCTTGTGAGTCAATGTGATCTGCTTTTTAAAGTGTCTTGTCTTACTTAAGGAATCTCTGCAATGGCAGACACCCCAGAACATGCCAGTGATTACCTTCGTCCTCTGCTGAGCTTTGCTGCTGCCCATGTGCCTGTGAAGAAGCACAAGGAGACACCCCTTTACATCCTATGCACAGCAGGCATGCGGCTTCTCCCTGAGAGGTGAGATGCAGGGTCCAAAAAACACGGGCAAATGGGTGGCACAAGAGTTGCAAGACTGACTCTATGGCATTGTTCTCTGTAGTTCCCTGGTCTGAAGGTGGGCTGTGGACACACCACACAGAGTTGACAGGTGGCACTAAAAGACTCCTTGCTCAAAAGAGAGCAGAGCCACCCCTGCATGTCATTACTTCACAATCCGTTTTTCAGAGCTTCATGTCGTTTGCTTCTTTGGGGTCGATACCTATGTGAGATGGCTGTAATGATTGTTAGTTCTGATTGAGAAGCAATGGTGATGGTGATAAATCTGGATCACTAGATGGGGAGCATAGTCAGAAGTGTCGTAGGAGTTCATCTGAGTGACCAGGTACCTGGAGGCCAGTAGGAAAGGCTCTGGTAGGAGTGCTGCTCTGTCTGTCACTGCCTGGCTCCCTGGTGATAGTTGGTGCTGCTTGCCAAGCTCAGTCTCCATTGCTTTAGACCAGTTTTTTCAACCCCAACCACTCCAGTGTCCACTTGACCTTGGTAGTTTAGCCCAGTATCTTGCCACCTGATCCCTCTTCCTTCTCTGGAAGAAGAGGAGGAGGAAGAGGCAGTGGCTATATGTAGGTCACACCCCTTCTTGTTTGTGATGTCTCCCCTTCGATACCTCCCTGAGCCCTCCACACTTATTATGGTCATGGGGTGGCAGTGAGCTCCCTTAACCTTAGAATTCATCCTTCTGGAATGTTCAAAGTCTCATAGGCATCAGGTATTTTTTATTAGCTTAAATATTTTTTCTTGGTAAATAACAGTAACCTTTCCCAGAAAGTTTTATTTTGTATTCTTGGCCAGCAACAACAAAAACCTCAGCCATGCATGTAGGGCTTCATGCTACTTATGCCAGATGTGCCAGATAACATATGTCCACAGTTCTTTCAGTGGACTTCTTTCCTTCTGTTTAAACACATGGTTACTGGTTTACTATCTAGGCTACTGTTGAGAAGGAGATTATTTTATATAGCCCTTTGTGGAAATGAGAGATCTTCTAGCCCCTTATTTTTCCATATATCTTGACCTTTAAAAAATTTTTCTTTTGTTTTTATTTTTAAAACCAAATTTTAAAATATTATAGCTGCATTAAGGGAATCTTAAAAGTAAAAAAAAAAACAAAAACCCAAAATACATATTCCTACTGCCCTATCGAAAGTGTTTCATCTTGTCACATTCCCTTCTCTCTGTACATCTATATGCAGTTTCTACAAAGTTGTAACCATACTGCACATGCAATTTAGGATTTTTAGTTTTGACATAAGTAATATTCACATAGTTCAAAATTTAGAAATCCTGGGAAGAGTATAGGTGACGTAGGGATGCCATATCACAGGTCTGTGAGTGGTCTGCGGTCGGCACCAAGGAAGGGGGAGGATGGCCAGAGAAGAAGCTGACTCAGAAGTCAAAAAGACAGAGCCGACCAGGAGGTTGATGGTTTGGCCATGTTTTGTGGGTCTGGAGCAAAAGAGGATTGTCTCATCTCCTGATGCCGCTCAGCATTGAGTCTGTCAAAGAAGTTTCCATCCGGACAAAACCCACTATGTAGCTCCATTCCATTTGTCTAAGATGTTCACTGTCTGCATGGAAGCTCTGAATATTAATATTTCTTTTATCTTAAGAATTTGTGAAAAGCTTGCCTTTTAACTTGTCTTCTGATCACCTCTTCTAATAATGCCTAGATCTCTCCTGGGCTTATGAAATCATTGTTCCCAATTGAGGCAGCCGTAGTTGTTGATATAAATGCAACCATCACTCTAAGAACCTGTTTTGTATAATTAATGCTTTGCTAATTTATTAGCATTTGTGAGCAATATTCAAAATGGGTTCAAATCACCTGAACTATATTTTGAAATGTGTTAGCACTAGGTTTTATTTCTTTGCCAAAGACCTGAACTAACAATTTGTTTTACCTCATTTTCATTTTGTAATGGAAATATCCTTAAAAAATTACAAAGATAGTACAAGGTGATATTTAAGGGAAGAAAAAACTTTTGTTATGGGAAATTTCAAACATCAAAAAAAAAAAAATAGAACATCATCATGAATCCTTATTTTCTTACCACCCAGCTTCAACAATTGCCAACATTTTGCCACTAAAAGTTTTTTTTAATAAGAAACAATAATTGAATTTTAGACAATCCCATGCAGTACGTGAAGAACTTTTTTGTTTTATTGTTTAATATAAATTGGTATCATATTATATGTACTGTTTCATAACCTATTAGAACTCAGAATATATCAAACATCTTTTCAGGTCAATACATATAGATCTATATTGACCTCATTTCTTTTAACATCTGTCTAGTATCACATTGTATGGATATACCACAGATTATTTAACCAATACCTAATGATGTGCATTTAGGTTATTTTCACTTTTTCATCATTATAAATAGTGCTGCAATATTCTCTTTCTTTTTGTATTCTTATCTGATGATTTCCTTGCAATAAATTTCTACAAGTGTAATAGCTGGTCAAAGGTTAAGCACATTAAAAATATGGATACATAGTCCTGGATTGCTCTTAGAAAGATCATACCAGTAATTTATATTCCCAACAGCAGTGTATGTTGGCGCCTGTTCTTCCATATCATCACCAAAACCAGCAAGCCCTCTTCTTTGGGTATTTTAGAAGCATATCCAATAGGGAGGGCAAAACAGTCCCTCTTGTTCCACATACAAAATTCTTATTGCAAGAAATTAATATGTATAACAGTGAGCTTTTTGGGAAACTATATTTGACAGTATACTGGGAAATTACTTTTTTTTTAAAAGATTGTATTTATTTATTTGACAGAGACACAGCGAGAGAGGAAACACAAGCAGGGGGAGTGGGAGAGGGAGAAGCAGGCTTTCCACTGAGCAGGGAGCCCGATGCGGGGCTCGATCCCAGGACCCCAGGATCATGACCCGAGCCGAAGGCAGACACTTAACGACTGAACCACCCAGGCGCCCCTGGGAAATTATTACTTTAAATGTATTCTTCACTTTTAAGTTTTAACATTCTCCATTAAGTCATGCTGACAACTATCTGAGCCAATATTTTTGTAATGAGTAATTTGAAAAACCCAGGATAATTGCTCTTATTTTTAACCATTTTCTCTAGATTCATATTATTACTTCTAGCTTTGTTTCTTTGCTTTTCTTTAATAACACTGATAACACAAAACTGTAGAGGAGAAAACAACCCTAGATACTAAGACTCAAACTTTGTCCCCAAATTGTTATAACCTTTGGATTTTTATCCTGATCTGGGTTATTCAAATGATATGATTTTTATAAAGAAAAAAACTCCAACCCTTGAAATATGTAAAAGGAAATCAAAAAGTTCATTGTCAGCTTGTGTAAAGGATTGTTAAAAACTTGTGGACCTAACAGTGCTCATCGTGTGGTGACGTGAGGCGTTGTTTCTGTTTTGTGTAAGATCTGAAGATGAGATTGTGTTCCTCAGTCTAACAGCTTCCCTTCACAATAGTTAGGAATCATTTAATTATGAAACCGTGCTTCCTGCCGCTTATACATATTCAGCCTGTGAGAGGCACAGAACCATGGTCTCATCTTTTAATGCTATTTGAATTGTAAAATTATAAAAAGGGAAAGTATTAATAGTACCATATTGCCATTTAAGTAGGAGGATGTCCTTTGGAGGCAGTTTAAACCTTTGAAATCAAAGGAGGTACCAAAAAGAAGCAGGGCTCAGCTGGTGGATGGGCTATATGAGCAGTGAGTCGTAACAAGTCTGAGTAGAAGGTCAAGTTGAAGCTAATTGTGAGAAGAGTGTTTAACGATTAATTTTTATGTATTTTTTTTCTTGCAGAAAGCAGCTGGCCATCTTGGCTGATCTAGTGAGAGATTTACCACTGGAGTTTGACTTCCTCTTTTCCCAGTCTCAGGCAGAAGTGATCTCTGGGAAGCAGGAAGGTACTGGGCCTCGAGGGGCACACTGGTTTGGCTCCCAGCCAGCTGTGGCATGGTCTCTCTGGCGGGGGTTTAGGATAACTTTATATATTTGATTTTTATTTTTCTTCGAATAATTTTCTTAATTCTGCTGTATAGTTTTTTTTTTATTATTTGCATATTCTGTGTTAGTATCTGTTTTAGAATCTGCTTTTAGAGGGGAGGGGGGTGGGGGATGGAGTGACTGGGTGATGGACATTAAGGAGGGCATGTGATGCAATGAGCACTGGGTGTTACATATGACTGATGAATCACTGAACTCTGCCTCTGAAACTAATAATCTGTATATTAATTAATTGAATTTAAATTTTTTTAAAAAATGGAAAAAGAAGAATGCTGCTTCTAGAAGTCCTATGTTTATATTTGTTTTTAACTTTGTGCTAAGTACTATGTTTATAAGAATGTATTAGTATTTAGTGATGATTCCAAATGGGTATTTGGTTAGTTAATTGTAGTTTTTAAAACATACATACTTCTCTAAGGTCTACTGAGTTTGCCAAATTCAAATGTAAAGTAAATTATTAAAGTAAGGGGAAACTTTAATTTTAGGGGGTGATCGGGATGATCACTACTTACTTTTCTTTGTTACGGGCTCTCCTTTATTGCATTTTACTGTGTAGTACTGATACTTCCCTAAAAGCTTGCACTTTGGGGGTGGAGTTGATTATGTGTTCTCATGTGGCCCAAATGTGGCCTGTATGACAAATTATGTTTCCATTTCTTGAAAAAGAGAAAATCCATGCATTCTAGTTACAGTTCACATAAGGGAAAAGATTTACCTTTTTCTATTTCAGTATTGCATTTTTCAGCCCTAGAATTTTCATTTGATTCTTTTCTATATCCTATTTCTTTGCTGAAACTGTCTATCTTCCATTCATGCTAGGACTGCTCTTATTTCTTGATTATATAGCTGCTTTAATATCTTTGTCTGATAAATCTGATATCTGTGTCTTCTTGGGATTGGTATCTTTTCCCTTATAAGTTGAGAATTTCCTAGTTCTTTTTATGCCAAGTAATTTTATATTGTATCCTGAACATTTTGAATATTACATTTTGAGACTCTGGGTCTTTTTTCAGTCATAAGGAGAATATTGATTGTTTGATTTAGCAGGGAGTTGACCTGGTTAGGTTTATGCCTCAAACTCTGACCTGCCTTCTGTTGGCTGTGATTCTGTTGATTCATTTTCAAAACCTTGGCACTGCGATTTGGATTTGTCCCGTTTGTGTGATACCCTGTGGCCAATATAGAACCTGGGCATAGCCCATACAAAATGGGTTGTCTAGCCAGTAGTTCAGTTCTCAGAACCTTTGGTATATTGTTTAGAGTGAGATCCATGCATGTGTAGCTTGGATGTCAGCCCAGGAGTTGATATACTACTTTATTCCTTACTCTCTGTAATCTCCCCAATCCTGTCTGGTTCCCTGGGGCTTACTCCTCCAGTCAGAAAGCCAGGACTTTAATTTACCTGCTCTGCCCTGCATTTCCCATGATTGCATCTGTATCCAGGGCTAAATGGTAGATGACAGAGGGAGAAAAATAAGCAATAGGGTTTTTCCCCAACTCTTAAGGCTCTTCTAGTCAGAGAAAGGATTCGTATCCTTCAGAGTTTAAGTTACCTGCCCAACTTCTGCCTCTACCCCTGCAGGATTGCCTGATGTAGCAGAGAACAAAATAAAGGGAAAAAAACTCAAGGGATTTTCCTCCATTCTTTCTGAGCCTTTGGAGTCCCTTTTAATGCTCCTTGGACCAGAAAGCAAGGTCTTGAATTTCTTTCTCTCCCCACCTGTATGTCCTTTTGTGTTTCAAGCTGCTTTTGAGTCCAGGCCAGGCGATATCTGGGGAGGAAAATGGAGAATTCACTACCGGTTTGGTGGTACTTTAACTTCTGATCTCTGTCTCAGTGTGCCCGTTATCATTTCCTTTCAGAGGCCTCACAAATGTGCTCCATACATTCCATCCAGAGTTTACATTTGTATTCAGTGGGGAGACAGGATGGAGTGTGCTTACTTCATCTTGCCCAGAACCAGAACTCCCAAGATTCACATTTTTTTACCATTTGTTTTTATACATTAATCCATAATCATCTGTAGGAAATTTAGACAATGCAAATCATTTTAAAGGGAAAAGCATCATAAGATAAGAGATTTTAAATTCATACACTGAGAGTGTGGAATAAAATACTCTGATCACCTTTTTCTAAGGAAAGGAGGAAAAGAGCGGCCCTGGGAAGAGGTGTAGACATGGCATAGCAAGAGAGAATTAAGCAAGGACTTTCATATTTCTTACTTAGGAGTTTATGCATGGATTGGAATCAACTTTGTTTTGGGAAGATTTGACCATGAGGATGGTGAGTAATGCTGTCATCTTACGAGAGTTCTAAGCGCTGAAGGTTTATGTTGTAACCTATCAGTAGAACATAACCTATCAGTAGAACATGAGTGCTATGTTTGAGTTGTTTTTCTTTCTTTCTTTAGCTTTTTAAAACTCTTTTAAGATGCTTCATTTTCCAGTCTTAATTTGCCTTCTTTTATTTCTTTTTAACTTTTTAATATGGGAAGTTGCAAACATTCACAGAAGTAGAGTAAATAATAAAATGAATCTCCATGAACCCAGTACCCAGACTCAACACTAATTAGTGATTGGCCAGTTTTTTTGCCCCACACTCCCTCCATACAGCACAGGGTTTTTTTTCCTATTGGGTTTTTTAAAAAATATTCATTTGTTTATTTTGAGAGAGAGTGAGTGAGAGCTAGAGAGTGCGAGTGGGGAGAGGGGCAGAGGAAGAGAATCTCAAGCAGACTCCCTGCTGAGCGTGGAGCCCAACATGGGACTCAGTCTCAGGACCCATGGGATCATGACCTGAGCCAAAACCAAGAGTCAGACGCTTAACTGACTGAGCCACCCAGGTGCCCCTCCTATTGGATTTTTAAAAGCAGACCCCAGACATATCATTTTATCTTCATGTACTTCAGTGTATATCTCTCAACAATGAGGAGTTTCAAAACAAATGAAATATATGCAATGGCATTTTTAAACTTAAAAAAGCTAACAATTTCTAATATTAGGTAACATCCATCTACCCAGGTAAAGACTTCCCTTATTGTCTCAAGAATATTTATTTGTAGTTGTCTTGTTAAAATTAGAATCTGATTGAGGATCACATGTTATGTTTGATTGATCAGTTTCTTACTCTAAAACCGTTTCCACCCTCCCACCTCTTTTCCTCAAATCATTCATTAAAAACAAAAACAAAACTGGATCACTTGATAGCATGAATTTGACACATTCTTGATTTGATTGACTGCATTTTTGTGGGGTCTGCAGCATTGCTTCTCATCCCGACAGAACCTTGATTAGACACAGATTTAATTCTTTCAGCAAGAATAAATCACAAATATTGGCGGTGTTTCCTACTACATCACATCAGGAGTTTTATAATGTCTGGTTGTCCCACTTTTAGTCATATTAAGACTGATCAAGTATTCAGGAGTCAGGTATTGTCAGCCTGATCTAATCTATTATAAAAATTCCCCAGCCACTTTTCACTTAATGGTTATAGTAGCCAATTGTGATGGTTGCTTAGATCCTTTTTTTTTATTAGAGGTTGGAAAATGGTGATTTTTCTAATTCTTTCAGTTCTTCTGCAATAAATAAAACAAATATTGTTCTTTGCTTTTTTAAGGTTTATTAGAGAGAGAGAGAGAACAAGCAGAGGGAAGGGGCAGAGGGAGAGGGAGAAGCAGGCTCCTTCCTGAGCAGGGAGCCCGATGTAGGGCTCCATCCCAGGACCCTGGGATCATGACCTGAGCCAAAGGCAGACGCAACCGACTGAGCCACCCAGGCGCCCCAACAGCTTAGATTTTTATATAACAAAATTTTCTTCATTAACTAATTACCCTGAAATACAGTTCTTATTGGAAAGGCAAAATAAGTCCTTCATTCTTTCCTTTCATTTACCAAGTTTTTGAATAATGAGTTCATGTCCTAGCATGAAAAGGTTAAAGGTAACCAGTGAAGTTTTTTTTTCCAGTATCATTATGAATTTATAGATTTTAATATGTTTGATGCATCTTAGTCCGTCACATCATTATTCTTTTCGGTGTTCAAATTATACCATCATTGGCCAGTAGGAGCACCTTTAAGTTGGCTCCTGTACCTTTTAACATCACAGTAGTCTTGTAGTCTATTTCCCTTGCTTTTTGGCACACTAAGGTATTCCATGCTCATCTTGTATTCTTTCTACCTTAGACCTAGCATCAGCTACTTTTTAAGGAGCCCTGGTTTCTTTTATTGAAAAATGATATTTAGTGACTGTGGATACCAGGGGTGCTCATTGCTCCTGGATTATCCTTGCTCCTAGGCCCTTTCAGTGAACAGAGCTAGAAAAAATGTATTTTTAGAAAGAGAAAACTCATGATTTCATAGTGATAGTTCCAATTCATACTTAAAAGGTTATTGCTTAATATCTTTGATTTTATACTTATATGTTTTTTCTTTTATGCCAATTATGTTTCTAAAGATATTAATATAAACATTTACTTTATTTCATAATATATGCTTAATTTACCAATAAAATCATTATCAATAAGACTACTGAAATGCAGTTTAAGATATCTATTTGCTTCTATTGTCATTAAGATACATTCTATAAGGGATACAGTAAAAATGCTAGGTTTTAAGTTACTGTTTTAAGTTATAAAAGAATTCTCTATAGGGATGCCTGGGTGGCTCAGTTGTTAAGCGTCTGCCTTTAGCTCAGGTCATGATCCCAGGGTCCTGGGATTGAACCCCGCGTCGAGCTCCCTGCTCAGTGGGAAGCCTGCTTCTCCCTCTCCCACTCCCCCTGCTTGTGTTCCCTCTCTCGCTGTGTCTCTCTCTGTCAAATAAATAAAATCTTAAAAAAAAAAAAAGAATTCTCTATAATATATAGGTGATATCATTAGATTAATTTATTTCAGTTTGTTTTTCATTTTTTAAGGGATTTTTGTTCTGGTTTTTTTTTTCCTTTTTGATTTAATTTTGTTTTTTAATTACTGGATCCTTTCTGTTCCCTTATTTATTTCAGAATCCGATGCCGAGGCCCCTCAGGAATTGGCAGCAGGGCGCAGAAGGACAGTAGGGATACTGGATATGGGAGGAGCCTCTCTTCAAATTGCTTATGAAGTTCCTACCTCAACCTCTGTCCTTCCTCCAAAACAGGTATTTTACCTTTTAGGGAAATTCAGTTGCTAGAAATGCCAGTATTTGAGAAGAAGGTCACTGTCTTTGGACTTAGACCAACTTGCCTGGGTCCAAATATTTGTTGAGATACTTGCTAGCTTATATTATCCTGGGCAGGTTACCTCTCTGAGCCTTAATTTCCTCATATATAAAATAAAAAGAGAATAGTAATAGTTTCTACTTCATAAACTTGGGAGGATGAAATGACACCATGTGTGTAAAGCACTTTACAAACTTCCCAGTATGTGATAAGTGTTTAATAATTTTAGTAATTATAATTATACTCCCCGTCTCTTGGTCTGCCTGAAGATTAAACATAATACATATAAATCCCAGAGTACAGTATTTGATACATACTTGTCTATTAAATGTTATTTCCTTTCCCTTGCTTATGATTCCATTCTTGTGCTTCTAATATTCCATACCTGACTAGAGTGTAAAGAATGTATCTCGAAGGAGTTTTATCATAGAGAGGAAAAAGAAATGCAGACAGTTTTTAAGCACCTATTATGGGCAAGGAATAAGACATTATACTGCCCCCAAAAGCTTATAATCTATCAGTGCAGAGAGCCTGTGATAACAGGCAGACCATGACAGTGCTATCATCTGATCTAAACCAGGGTTTCTCATCGTTGGCACTATTGACGTTCTGGGCTGGATAAGCCTTTGTTGTAGCTGCCCCATGCATAATATGATGTTTAGCAGCATCTCAGGCCTCTACCAGATGCCAGTAATGTCCCCACCCCATTACCCTGCTCCATGAATGGGAGTCATCTTGGCTTGTTGCCTAGTGGAGCTTGTTGCCTAGTAGGCTTTTGCCTAGTGGAGGAAGGCCACCTGTATGGAGGCCACAGTATACACAAGGGCACAAAAGAAGCAGCAAAGAGCCCAGAATGTCCAGGGAGTGGTGAACAGCTCGTTGCAGTGTATGGTTTTCCAGTGCAGTGTAGCTAAGTCTAGGAAGATCAGATGAAGTTAGACGGTGAGGAGTGTTAGGTGCCATGCTAGGGAAATTTCACTTTTATATCTATAAACGGAGGATAGTTAGCAAAGGTTTTTGAGTAGGGCAGTCATATGGACCTCATTTCATCATCTGTGAAGTAATTAAACTCCTAAGGTCCTTTTCAGCTCTGTATTGTGTGACTGATCTAATTGATTTTTTAGGAAAATAATTTTGGTGTCAGTAGGAGAAAGAAATGTAGGTGAGGGAACCTTGGGTGAGAAGTAATAAGGGCTGAACTAGGCATTGTAAGTGGAAATGGAGTGGAGGGGACAGATTTCAAGGGTATTTTGGAATTTAAAAAAACAATGTAATATAATGGTGTGGGTAGGACAGGAAAGGACGGCCAGTGATGCTGAGGTTCCCTCCTAGGTACCTGATAGGGTAAGGAACCCAGTCACTGAGAGAAACCCCAGGATAAGGGGTGGGTTGATGCTAAGCAAATCAGTATGGTCCGGTGGTTTGCGTGAGAGTGACTTTCTGATCTCTAGCCCAAGTCCTGCGACCAGTGAGTTCAGTTTTGAGTATGTTGGAATTTGAAATATCTGAGGAACATATGTATTTAAATATCCAGCAAGATTGTTGGAAATGTGGGTTTGATAATCAGCAGGGGTCTGTGCAAGGTTTGGAAATTTGGGGAACTAGGTTGTAAGACATTTTAACTTTAGCCTATATTTGCTAGTATGTCGTCAACAGGTAAACTGAAGGCCATGGATCCAGTGAGTGGCACTGATCCTTAAAGTCTTAAACAAATGACTTTTTTGTTTGTGTAGATTTAGAAAGTGACACTCGTGTAGAAAGTATATTTGCAAGCAAAAATTAGATGTATGCATAGCAATATAATGATCTTAAAGATGGATCTCAGTGCTTGGTAAACAAGGAAAAGAACAATGAGACATAACACAATAGCACTTTACAAAATATAAATAATCCTCAATGCCCAAAGTGATTTTTTTGTACAATTCACAAAGTTGCGCACGTTCACAGAGTAACCCAACCACCTCTATTGAATTCTAGAATGTGTTTATTACGCCCAAAGAAACCCCGCATTCATTAGTAGTCACTTGCCATTCTCTCCTCGTAGCCCTGACAACCAATAATCTGCTTCACTGGGGCATCTGGGTGGCTCAGTTGGTTAAGCATCTGCCTTCGGCTCAGGTCCTGAGCCCAGGGTCCTGGGATCGAGCCCCGCATCGGGCTCCCTGCTCATTGGGGAGCCTGCTTCTCCCTCTCCCCGCTCCCCCCTCCCCACTTGTGTTCTCTCTCTCTTGCTCGCTCTCTCTCTCAAATAAATAAAATTAAAAAAAATAATCTGCTTCACATCTCCTGTGGATTTGCCTGTTCTTAGTATTTCACATAAATGGAATCATACAATATGTGACATCTTGTGTCTGCTTCTTTAACTTAGCAAAATGTTTTCAGGGTTCATCTCTGTTATAGCACATGTCAGTCCTTCATTTCTCTTCATGGCTGAATAATATTCCATTATATGACCATGCCACATTTTGTTTATCCATTCATCAGTTGATGGACTTTTGGATTTTATTTCCAGTTTTTGGCTATTATGAATAATGCTGTGAACATTCACATACACATGTTTGATTAGTCATAGTTTTCACTCCTCCTGTGTATATACTTAGTGAAATTTCTGGGCACAATATCATCTTCATAAATTAAAAACAAATACATTCAAAACAATAATTTCATTTTACAACAGTATGTAGAAACATACATTACACATTGAAGCACATTAGAATGCTTGCCTGTGGGGAGCGGGAATGGGAGTGGATATGAAGATAAAAGGAAGTAAATAAAACAAAAATGGGGTTTTGCCATAATAATGTACCATGAACTGAGGAGTATGATTAATTCAACCCATGTACCTCAAGTTAAAAAAAAAAGAGCCCCTTTTCATTGGAGGTCCAGTAAAATGGAACTTTCCCAATCCCAGTCCCTGTCATAGGGAACATTAGATCTTCTTGAATAGTTTTAGAAAAACCCATAGAATAGGTCTCATAATGATCTCCGAAATTCCTTAAATTTATTTTTATCAAAGGATTTTTTTTTCCTGATGATAAAAATAGTACATTCTCATTTTGGAGGATTGGAAAATCAGAAGAATACATGCAAGAAAATGACATCATCTGTAATAATGATTCTACCTTCTGTAGAACTACAGATAGTGTTGTAGTCTCTAATTTGGCATTTAGTCTCTGTACTGTTTTATGTAGGCTTGTCACTTCGTGTCTTTGTTGAAAATAATGCTATAAGAATGAGAGACTGCTATAAGATATCTTAAAGAGTAGTTATAGCACATGAAGACTGGTGTATTAGTGATGTCATAGCTTTCTGTCAATCAGCCAAAACTAAGATTCCCTTTTTTCGCTTTACATTGTATTATAGGAAGAAGCAGCAAAGATCCTGTTGGCTGAATTCAACCTGGGCTGCGATGTGCAACATACTGAACACGTGTATAGGGTTTATGTCACGACCTTCCTGGGTTTTGGGGGCAACTTTGCCCGGCAGCGCTATGAAGACCTTGTGCTGAATGAAACCCTTACCAAAAATAGGTATGTCTGACGTGGGGATCTGTGCCTCTGAAATAGAATGTCATCAGGGTGCAGATACTAGGAAGAAATACTCCTATCCTACTATGATAGATATGTCCTTGCTTCCTCCTTCTTCCTGACCACTCCTGCCAATGGGGTAGTATTGCTTAGAGACCCTGTATTAGTAGTCCCACTCAATCTAGGTGAGGGTGCATTCTGGTCAGACCCAAAAAAGTCTAGCAGCTTAGTGGGACCTCTTGCAGTGTCCTGTTTCAGAAATGGTATCATAGGATAAATGAAATTAAGTTCCTTTTTTTTTTTTTAAGAATTTTTTAAAAACTTTAGAGAGAGAGAGAGCAAGCACAAGCAGGGGGAGCGGCAGGCAGAGAGAGAGGGAGAAGCGGGCTCCCTGCTGAGCAGGGAGCCCAATGCAAGGCTCGATCCCAGGATCCTGGGATCATTAACTGAGCTGAAGGCAGACACTTAACTGACTGAGCCACCCACGCGTCCCAGTGAGATCAAGTTCTTAATTTACAATGTGCAGTGTAATGTAGCTCTTAGTTCCCTCTACATGGAAGATGTATTTGATGAATTACAGTGGAGTTGCGTCTTATGTGGGAGTGAGGTCCATAGTGTGCATAAAAGAATAAAAAGCATGTGAAGTCAGAATTAACCTTTACATTGTTCTCTCATTAAGTCCAGAACAGCCAGTTTGCTCTGCAGCATGGACAGATCACAGACTCTTCATTTGAGTACCCCGTGAAGTATTTAGGCCATAATGTACAAATAGTTGTGAGATTTTCTTTGTTTAAAATTATTGTATCATTACGTGCATTGAAGGAAGCATAATAGACAGCAGAGTTTTTTTCACCATAAAATATTTACCCCCATTTGTTTTGCTAGAAACACTAGTTTGAAGAAGTACCAGTATAGCCTATTTATAATAACTTTTCCACAGCAGTTGTCTTATATTGGCACCATATTAAAGAAAATACTGTCTCATAATTCTTTTTTGTTTTTGTGAGTCTCAACTACCAGGACTTCACAGTATTTTGGGAAAATCCTGTTACCGCAGATGATTGATGAATGCATTAAAATCAGTCAGTGTGTTTGCATTCTGAAAATACTCTCACATCTGTACTCCTGTTGCTTGGGCTGCCGGCACCGCGGCATTTGGAGAACAGTTATGAGAGTTTCACACCAATTTTGTTGTGGTCCTTCTTTGTTAGCTGCTGTGCTTCCTTTTCCATTTCCTTCCTTTGTTGTTCTGCTGCCCTTTTGTCTTTGCTGTTTTCTGCTCAGAACTTGCCAGGCTGCATCATCATCCTCCCATGCACTGGTATTTTCTTGCCATGTTTCTAAGTTCCTAATTCAGAAGATTTATTCTTCATCTCGTGTAGCTTCTAATCTACTAGAGAAACCTGTGCTTCCTGGGATGTCAGAACATAATAGTTCCTTCCTCTTCTTCTTCTTCTTCTTTTTTTTTTTTAAGAGAGAGCGAGAGAGCAAACGGGTGGAGGTAGGGGGAGAGGGAGAGAGAGAATCTCAAGCAGGCCCCATGCCCAGTGCAGAGCCTGATGGGGGGCTCGATCTCATGACCCTGAGATCATGACCTGAGCCAAAATCAAGAGTCGGATGCTCAACTGACTGAGCCACCCAGGCGCCCCTGGTTCTTTCTTCTTAATATGATTTTCTGAGGTTGTTTTGTTTTGTTTTTTCTATAGTTGGTGTCACATCCTTAAAATAAGTTCCAGTCATTCCAAAGCATTTTGTGGTGTTGCCACATTCCCACTCCCTCCTTTAGTCTTTACCCTTGTGGGGGCATCTTCATCCCAGGAAGTCCACTCTTCAACATGTGTCTCTTCAGGAACTGGTGAATAATTAACCATGGTTGGCAACATTATTTGGTCTTCACTTAATTTCTGTTCTCGGCCAGATCTGTATTTCATCCCCTTAGGAATGGGAATTTTGTTGCTGGGCAAAGTGCTGACTTGAAACAGCCAGAACTGTGTGACAGCTACGGTGGGGATGAGAACCTGCCCCTCCCCCTGTCCCTGCGAGGGGCCAGGCATGTCCTTCCTATTGCCGGCAGTTATTACGGCACCACCGACAAGGTCCCCTCCTCAGGAGCCTCTCCCGGGCCTTCCTTCTTCACCTCCTCCCAGGGTTTTGTTGAACGTTAGAACTGTACTCGGTGTGGTGAGATCTTGACACTTTTAAGAGACCAGTGGGAATGAAGACTAGATTGAGACCTGCAGATTAACATTTCCAGTTTCACTCTGCACTGGGAGATGTACACGAGGACTGAACAGTTGGACAAAATTTGATCACTGCCATAATTCTCTCCTTTCTTTCCTTCCTTCTTTCCACTAAATTGAATTTGCTTAAGGTAAATTTTGATGTGTTACGACTGATGCTAAAACTCCATTCTTGTTTCTAGGGATGCCATGTAAAACAACAAGATAATCTGTGAAGCACATTCTTAGACCAAGTTTCTTAAACTAGGTGTTTCTTAGAAGAGGGTGAGTACATTAGTGATGTGTTTTGTGTGTTTTTGTCATTGTGACAGGTTGCTGGGCCAGAAGACTGGTCTGAGTCCCGACAATCCATTTCTGGATCCCTGCCTGCCTGTGGGCCTCACAGATGTGGTGGAGAGGAACAGCCAGGTGCTGCACATCCGAGGAAGAGGAGACTGGGCCTCTTGCGGGGCGATGCTGAGCCCCCTGCTGGCTCGCTCCAACACCAGCCAGGCCTCGCTGAATGGCATCTACCAGTCGCCAATTGACTTCAACAACAGCGAGTTCTACGGTTTCTCTGAGTTTTTTTACTGTACAGAGGATGTGTTACGCATTGGTGGCCACTATCACGGGCCAACGTTTGCCAAGGCTGCCCAGGTAAATTATTTATAATAAAGATGACTCACGCCAGCTGCAGCCATTTATTGGATGCCTAACTTTGTATCAGATGCTGTTCAAAGAGCTTTGCATGCCTGATTTCACTGGATTCTTCGCAGGGGCCCTCTGAGCCCTCGTTTTATAGATGAGAAAGTGGACTCAAAAGTTAAGGAACCCGCTGTGCCGGACTGTCTTCTAGTTCATTAAGCTTAGGTTTCCATGCGTGTTGTGATCACCCAGATTATCACCCAAGTCTATAATTGTGGTGGCTAACGGTTGTTCCTCTAGTTTTCCAATAATCTTGTTTAATGTTTGTGGACAAAAGTATCATCCCCAGAGATTCTTCCCCTTACTGGGTATTCTCAGTTGTAATATGCTTTTGGAGATGATGTCACACAGGTGGGCAAGTGCACTTTCATTTTTTTGGTTTGAGTCATTAGGAGGCCAGAATGGTATATAGGGTCACTTGGAATATTAGAAAGATGTTGGGAAAAGCAATGTCAGTGTAAGTATTGTTTAAAACTAAAATGCAGAAGAAATAAAAATTCATTTAGAGCATATCTAGGATGTTAGCAGCTTATAAGCTTAAATCATTAGTTACCTGAACAGGTAAAAGTTTAGCTAGCTTTCTATAGCTCCTTTTTTTAAAAAAGATTTATTTATTTTAGAGTGAGCAGGTAAGCGGGGGGAGGGGCAGAGGGAGAATATAGCTCCTTTAATTTTTTTTTAAGATTTTGTTTATTAGAGAGTGTGTGTGCACGCACAGTTGGGGGAGGGGCAGTGGGGGAGGAAGTGGGGGAGGAATCTCAAGCAGACTCCACACTGAGCACAGAGCCCAGTGTGGGGCTCGATCCCACGACCCCGAGATCACGACCTGAGCCGAAACCAAGAGTGTGATATTCAACAGCTGAGCCACCCAGGCGCCCAATCTCCTTCTTTAATTTAGATTCATTTCTGAAGTTTTGCCTATCTTTCTGATCTCTTTTTTAGCACAGAAACTTATGGGAAGAATCTGTCCTTATATTTTTTATTCTTTCCTTTCTGCTTTGTTACAGTTCTCTAGGGTTCTCTGGATAGAAGACTTGCAATTTAATAATATCTGTGGGATGCCTGGGTGGCAGTCAGTTAAGCATCTGACTCTTAGTTTCAGCTCAGGTCCTGATCTCAGGGTCATGAGATCAAGCCCCGAGTCAAGCTCTGTGCTCCGCACCGAGTCATGAGATTCTCTCTCCCTCTCCTTCTGCCCCTCCCACTTGTGCTCTCTCTCTCTCGAAATAAATAAATAAATCTTAAAAATATATATATATATTTGTAGTATGTGTAATATTCTGTTCCCTAAAGGCAGTCCCTAAGAAATATTGAGGGGGCGCCTGAGTGGCTCAGTTGGTTAAGCATCTGCCTTCAGCTCAGGTCATGATCCCGGGGTCCTGGGATCAAGCCCCATATTGGACTCCCTGCTCAGTAGGGAGTCTGCTTGTCTCTCTCCTTCTGCCCCCCCTCAAATGTAGTCTCTGTCTTTCAAATAAATAAATAAAATCTTTAGAAAAGAGAGAAATATTGAGGAAAACCTGGTTTGTATTTTTCTTCTCCAGCCTCCAGGAGTACACTCATATTCCTTTTCCTTTCCAGCATCCGGGGCTCTCTAAATGTCCATGGCCCACATCTTTCTCTCATTTTAAAACTTCTTCAGTTTTATTCCCTTGAACACCAAAGGGCTCAAGTTATTGCTTGCCCAAGTTGTTAGTGGCTTAATATGTTCTCTTTCCCAGGTAAAAGAGATAATTTTGTTCTTTTTTTTACTTTGACTCAACTGTTACTTTCCCAGTTATACCTTCCCTAGCAACCATATCCATAACTGCAGCCCTTCCCAATATTACCTGTTTCCCTTTCCTGTGAGCATTTATGTCATCTAACACACTCTGTACGTATGTGTATATGTATATAGGTATGTGCGTGTTGTATGTATGCATGCATATATATGTATTTGGTTACTGTCTGTCTCTTACTACTAGAATGTGAGCTTCATGTTTTGTCTGTTTTGTTCACTGCTAAATCTCCCTGGCACCTAGAATAGCATCTGGCACAAAGTAGACATTCAAGAAATACAAGTTAACTGATCAAACCAGAAGGAATGATTCCTTTGGGGAGAACTACAACATGGAGACAGGCCAGTGGTATAATTTTGACCATTCTGTACCATCTACTTTACCTGCTCATGTTAGTCTGACATAGAGCAGAGTGAGGCTCCCTTTGGCTTTGATGTTGCTCTTCCTGGTCCTAACCTTATCCCTGTCTGAAGCTGAAGAGGCTCAGGAGCCATGTTGGGGTGGCTTTGTATTGGACTTGAGGTGATGGGAATAAAAAGGAGACCCGCAGCAGCCTGCATCTGCATTTTGGCACTTGTGTTGCACGGTGTCCAGTGAATGAAGATGGCGTTTCTGTTTTCCTTTGTCAACTAGTAGCCCATGAGTAACTTTAGACATGGAGCAGCTGTGACTGTAGGGAGGTTACAGGGTTTGGCTTTAATTTCACGTTGCAACATTTCTGTGCACTTGTTCCAGGATTACTGTGGCATGGCCTGGTCAGTACTAACTCAGAGATTCAAGAATGGCCTCTTTTCATCACATGCAGATGAGCATCGACTCAAGTAAGTAGCTTCCTTTTCTCCCTTAGATTTGGCCTGAAAATGTAAATGGCATATTATAATGAGGGAGAGAGAGCAAGTAAGAGCACAGATGTGATTTTATGCTGAAGGAGAATTTGATTATTTTTGATTTTGGTTTTCTGAGCAATAGGGGCTAAAATAGTGAGCCTAGTTTAGCGAAGTCAACGAAAACCAGGGTCACCGCAAGGTTTTCTCTGAGTGGCTTGAAATCAAAAGTGGTGGAGGGCGCCTGGGTGGCTCAGTTGGTTAAGCGACTGCCTTCGGCTCAGGTCATGATCCTGGAGTCCCGGGATTGAGTCCCACATCGGGCTCCCTGCTCGGCAGGGAGTCTGCCTCTCCCTCTGACCTTCTTCCCTCTTGTGCTCTCTATCTCTAATTCTCTCTCTCTCAAATAAATAAATAAAATCTTTAAAAAAAAAATCAAAAGTGGTGGGTTTCTTAAATTAAAATATGGAACATGCAGAAGGGTAGAAAGAAAAGTAACATAAACCTCACCCAGCTTCAACAAGTGCCAATATTTTGCCAGTTTGGTTTGTCGGTCCTCCCATTTTTGTAAATATTTGTAAAATATCTTAAACATAAACAAAAATAGAAGAGTATCATAAACTCCCATATGCCTGTCACCCTGTTTCTCTACCAGTGGTTATCAGCTTCTGCCCAATCTTGTATCTATTTTCCCACCCTTCTGCCCTCTTACCGCAGCTGGGTTATTTTGAAGCAAATCCCAGACATCATGTAAGTAGACTTGTAGATACTTCAGCAGGCTCCTTGAAGATAGGACTCATAAAAAGAAAAAGGGGGCACCTGAGTGGCTCAGTTGGTTAAGCTTCTGACTCTTGATCTTGGCTCAGGTCGTGATTTTAGGGTTGTGAGATTGAGCCCCATATCGGGCTCCGTGCTGGGCATGGAACCTGCTTGGGATTCTCTCTCTTCTTCTCCATCTGCCTCTCCTCTGCCCTCTCTCACTCTAAAAAAAAAAAAGAGAAAGAAAAAGAAAACACAGTCACAATATCACTACTGTGAAAAGGCAGTCCTCACTTTTGCGGTAAACAAGATAAAGTAGGCGCAGGTTTGGCTCCACCTAGAGGCGAGGAAGGTGAAGTAGAGAGAGACCGGTCTTTTTTTGACATCCAGGGGGAGTACATAGAAAACATTAGAACTCTCTTTTTTTCTTCTTTAAAAAAAATATTATTTTGTCACACAGATATCAGTGTTTTAAATCGGCTTGGATGTACCAAGTCCTTCATGAAGGATTCCACTTTCCCTATGACTACCCGCACCTGCAGACAGCCCAGCTGGTATATGACCGAGAGGTTCAGTGGACACTGGGAGCCATTCTGTATAAAACACGATTCTTACCACTCAGGTAAACTGGACTGAACTGGCATCTTGAGATCAGAGGATGTTGGTTGGTGTCTCAGAATAGGTTTCGTAAGTGACCTTTCTCCCTCAAAAAAGCATCCGAACTAACTCCCTCTATTACTACCCCATGAACTATTATTACTACCCAAGCATGTTGAAACAGAAAGAAGGTTGAGAATTTAATCCGGTGTCTGTTCTTCAGCTTTGCAATTTCAGGAATTCAGTTTTATTTATCCATAATAAATCAGTCTTTAGGATTGAGCTGTTACTTGACCAGTTCTAAGATACTGAGTGGTAAACTAAAATAAAACTAAAATGCCATTCTTCGGTCACTGTAGAAAACATCAGACTAGAGAACTGGGGTAGGCTGTGTGTATAGAGCAGTCTTTCCTAATGGGTAGAGTCACTCTAGAGATCATGTCATTGATTTAGAAGGCTTTTTGGTGGGCCAGAATTAGAACACAGCACATGAGATGCCCTTAGGGGGGGTATTGTCATCAAGCTGTGATAAGCCTGATGTCTTGTTCTATGTACCATAAAATATTTGGGAGAAGTTTTAGGTTATCTCTCCCCTGGATTGTTTCAGATAAACTAAAATGAGTTTTTAATCTTTGCTGCCTGTTTGTCTAACCTCAGAAGGCAGGCAGCGGAGAGAGGTGAGAGAAGTGGGGAGCTAGAGAGTATGCACTCCGGATGAAGGGCTGAGGACTGCCATGCAGAAATGCTGTACCAGCATTTGCCAGTTCTCATTTGTCAGGACAAGCCAGAAGTCCATATGTCATAGGCAGGCTTTCAGTTTGGAGATTCACATTTTAAGAAAACACTGCAGGTCAAACAAAACAAAAATGGATCTGGTGTCTGGACCAAAGAGCGGCTTCATTCTATGCATGCAGTCTGCTGCACTTTGGCTTACAGGTCTCCTTACTTTTTTCCAGACTACAGTACTACTGACCAGGTGACAGATTTCTCTAGATATAGCCTAAATCCTCAGGAAGCACAGTCAATTTTTTTTTCAAAGATTTAGATACACTCTGATGTCTTGATTGGATTTAGGGGCCACCCTATTCTTGTTAGTACCGTATTTACAGACTGGATGTATGTATTTACAGAATGGTATGGGGTCAATGTTAAGACTAAGTTTATAGATGATCAGTCTTATCTTACTGTTCATTTTTTTGCCTTCTAATTCTGTCCCCAGATCCTGGAGGATGTAGGCCTGTGAGGCTCCCTCTGTAGGCCCTGGCAGAGAAAGTACAGGAGGAATCACATAGCGGCCCTCGGGCTGGAGACATTCTTTAGCTTTGCTTGCCCTGTGGAGCTGGTATCCTAGCATATTTGCATGAATAGAATAAATGAGATAACACTGCTGGCCTTTTAAATCAACATAACTGTTTCTCTTTGAAATTAACATGACTTTCCACCTTCCAACTCTTCCTAGGGATCTGCGGCAAGAAGGTGTTCGGCAGGCCCATGGCGGCTGGTTCCGCCTCTCCTTTGTCTACAACCACTATCTCTTCTTCGCCTGTATCCTGGTGGTGCTACTGGCCATCATCCTGTACCTTCTGCGGCTACGCCGAATTCACCACCGACAAACTCGAACCTCGGCTCCACTGGACTTGCTGTGGATTGAGGAGGTGGTGCCCATGATTGGGGTACAGGTAGGGCCGTGAGGCCGGACAAGGACTTGGGGAGCTTGAATACCCCAGAGTTGCTGCCCATTGAATTCCACCACTCTCTTGTACTGGCCTCAGATGCTGCTCTGCCTGACCTTGGGATATTTGGCCTTGGAATTTCTACCTTAATATCTACTTTAATTCCTTTTCAATATCTAGGTCCTCTTCTCTGGGAGAAGCTGTAATTTAGTCTGTGAAGAACTAAATAATGAGAGTTTGGTGCTAACAAAGAGGACCAACCTTAATCCAGTTGAAGCATGCTCCTACCCCTTTATCCGAAAGGTCTGGTGTGGTCCTGGCATCTAGATTTTTCTCCCCTTGCTAAAGCATGAAGTTTGGCATTGGGCAAACTGGAAGCCTGGTTATAACCAAACTGGAGCATCTGATAACAAAGCCGAAGACATTCCAGCAAGTGCAGCAGCCCCTTCTTTCTCTGTAACAGAGATATCATTTATGTGGACATCCACACCCTTTAGTAGGGATCCAAGATATTTGCATTTCAGTGGAACAGATATGAACTTCCAGGCAAACAAAATAAGTTTCTTTGCTTACTTGACAAAGAAGTCATTATGAGTGTGGTCCAAGATCCCTGACATAATGTTGCTGATGTTAATTAATTAGCATGTGATTTTAAAAGGTTAGAATCCCTTCTAAGTGAATGATCAGTCAAAGACTTTGACAATATCTTATGTAATACCTGGTATGACCAGGATAGAAAATGTTTCTGTGTCTATGTGCTTCACTGGCTGTTTGGGCATTAATTTTTCTTTTTGAGCCTTAAGTGTGTTTGTAGGATGGAGAAACTGATGGGATTGGAGATCTGGATTTGTCTGGTTTTAAATCACTGTCTCTAGGCCTATTTTTATGAGCCCCTTTACAGGAAAATATAAAAAGAGTTCCTTTATTTCACTAAGATCAATACATAGTTTGGGAAGTCATATATTTGGGTTGTTTTTAAAGAAGGAAAGAACAGTATCAGGAGAGTGGGCAAAGGCAATAAAACCCAGGCTCTTATTTATTAATGTTTTCCTGAGAAATAGAAATTTTCTTAATATGACTCTTGGAATGTCTGAAAAGAAGCAAATTCTAAACTTAGGAATACATAGGTAAATCTGTTAATAAGCCACCTGGCAACTTTCAGAACCTTTATTAAGAGATTGCTCAGTCGTAGAGCGCATTTCCATTAATGAGGAGAGAGAAAAGCCCTATGATTACATTTCATCCACTGCCCTTCAGGAGCCCTGTTCCTCTCCTACATGTAGCCTTTAACCTGCACCTTCCCCGGTGGGATCGTCCTCATGCTTTATCCTTTCCTACATGTAGCCTTGAATGTCCCTCCCAAGAATATGCTCCCAGACTTGCAGTAGCTTTGTTTTCCTTTTTGTCACTTTATTTTTAGGGCTGACTTTAATGGGGAAAAAAGCAGAATTATTAAAACATAAATTCCATAGTGGGATCAGAAAGGAATTAAATGCTTCATAAAACAGAAAAATCAAGATCCTCCTAGAAATAAACTGAGATGAAAATAAGTATACTCACTCTTAGTTGGTAGGTGAAAAAGATATGAGTCTTAAATTGTTTTCAAATTAGATAAAAATGGATCTAGCAAAGGGTCTTATAGCTCCCTCTGGAAATATTTTTACTTTTCATTAGGGCTTTATGTCACAGCAATTTCCTTTACTCTTTAAGACTTCTAAATTGCGTTGATTTTCTTTGACTTCTTACCTTTGTATCACTGTGAGTGAACCTTCGCCATATGAGTGCTGCTTATAAATAATGTCAGAATATGTTTTTTGCTAGCCAGTGCCTCCTCAGGTACTCTTTCTTTTTCCCTCATCTTGGTTTCCAAATACTATTTTTGGTTTTTTTGTGAGATCTGGTCAGTGATCTGGTCAAAAGCTACCTAATTGGCTATTAGTGATCACATTCGTGTGCTCGAAATGAAGCTGAAGCAAGGAGGAGGTGATGATGAATCCAGTTTGAAAGCTCTTATTAATGAAGTTATTCTTCTTCCTGGTTATAATAATGATAGCTGCCATTTGTTAAGCATTTACTGTGTACCATACACTCTTAAGAATTTTATGTATGTTATTTAATCATTATGACAGCCTTTCAGATGGGTATTACTTTTTTGTGTTCTTTTTATAATTGAGAAACTCAGGATATCCTATGCTTATCATTTTTTCAGTGTAAATGTATTTCTTATTCTTAATTTATTTTAATTAGTTCTTGAGTTTTTGTTTAGTGTATTACATCCTGTTTATTATTTTAATATTATAGGATCTAGGCTTGTCTTTGTTACTGTATGACTTTTCAGCGTTCCATGGTATAAATGTAAGAAGGACAAATTTTTATCATATTCCTCAGAAAAACTGAGTATTTGCTGTCGGTGTTGGTTTCTGTGCTTCTTTCATTGCTCCCAATTAACAGTTTTAAATGAAATCTCATTAGCTAGGAGACAGAAGCCATTTATTCTTTGAAGGCCAATTACTTATATTGCTTTCTCATAATCGTCTTGCAAATGGAATCAATCTTGTCTTTAACCCTCTTTAAAGATTTTTTAAGATTTTTTAAAGATCTGTGTTTGTATTTCTGCATTTTCAGTGGTTTCCCTGTGAAGATAATTATGATTTCATTTAAATTCACATCCCAGCAGTTCCTTTGAATCTTACCAACCAGTCTTCTTGATAACAGCAAAATGAATGCGAATGGTTTTAGTACTTTTATCATTAGTGAGACAGGCCACAAATGTCAAAATCAGAGTCAGTGGCTGATAGGATGTGATGCTTTATTGGTCTTACGATGGCACAACCCATCACTTTTCTCTGAATTCTTGTCACTAGGACATAATGAAAATATGTATCGTACCTACGTATATGGCATTACGTTGATTTAAGTTGCAGTTAACACTAGGCAAAATTATACCATCTTTGTCTCTGTACATTAGCTCCTTGGATTGATTTTCCTTGGTGTAGGGAATTTAGTCACTTTCCAACAACCTTGTCTTAATCTTTCATGTTATCCAAAGCATTCTGCCTCCCCTTCCCTCAGCCTGACAGCTTTCTTTACCTTCAAAGGCCTTGGGCAGTGATTATTAAAATGTGGTTGATTGAGTCTGTCATGCACTTGCTAAGCTAATCTTTTCAGGTATTAACGTTTAGTATCACATCTATATTTGTTGTTGTATAGCTGACACAAAACATCGTATTAGCTTCAGGTGTACAACACAATGACTTGATATTTGTATACACTACAAAATGATCACCACAATGAATCTAGTTTCCCCCTGTCACCATATAAAGTTAACTAACATGCAACTTGGTGTTACTGATTCTAGTCACCATGCTGAACGTTACATCCCATGGTATGACTTGTTTATTTTATGACCCCCTTCTTCTGTCTTGCCCACCCTCCCTGCTCCCCCGCTCTGGCAACCACCAGTCTGTTCTCTGCATCTATGAGTTTTGTTGTTTGTTCTTGCGTGTTTTAGATTCTACATATAAGTGAAACCATATGGTATTTGTCTTTCTCTGACTTATTTCACTTAGCTGTAATACCCCCAGCGTCCATCCATGTCACAAATGGCAAGATTTCATTCTTTTTTATGGCTGAGGTGGTATTCCTTTGTGTGTGTGTGGAGGGGGGTTGTGTGCATCTTCTTTACCCACTCGTCCGTCAGCGGGCACTTGGGCTGTTTCCTTATCTTGGGTATTGTGAATGATGCTGCAGTGAACATATGGGTGCATGTACCTTTTCAAATTAGTGCTTTCATTTTCTTCAGATACCTGGAAGTAGACTTGCTGGATCACATGGCAGTTCCATTTTTAGTTTTTTGAGGAACCTTCATACTGTTTTCCCTTATGGCTGCACCAGTTTACATTCCCACCAATAGTGCACAATAGTTCCCTTTTCTCTACATCCTCACCAACACTTGGTATTTCTTATCTTTTTGATAATCGCCATCCTGACAGATGCAAGATGATATAGCTCATGGTTTTGAGTTGCATTTCTCTGGTAATTACTGATGCTGAGCATCTTTTAATGTGCCTGTCGGCCATCTGTATGTCTTTGGAAAAATGTCTGTTCAGGTCCTCTGCCCATTTTTTAAATCAGAATGTGTTTTGTTACTGAGTTATAGTTCTTTTTATAATTTGGGTATTAACCCCTTACCATATTTATGATTTGCAAATATCTTCTCCCATTCAGTAGGGTGCCTTTTTATTTTGTTGATGGTTTCCTTTGCTGAACAGAAGCTTTTTAGTTTGATATCGTTTCATTTGTTTATTTTGGTTTTTATTGCCATTGCTACTGGAGTCAGATCTAAGAAAATATAGCCAAGAGTGATGTCAAGAAACTTATTGCCGGGCGCGTGGGTGGCTCAGTTGGTTAAGCAACTGCCTTCGGCTCAGGTCATGATCCTGGAGTCCTGGGATCGAGTCCCGCATCGGGCTCCCAGCTCGGCAGGGAGTCTGCTTCTCCCTCTGACCCCCCCCCCCGCCATGCTCTCTCTCTCTATCTCATTCTCTCTCTCAAATACATAAATAAATCTTTAAAAAAAAACAAAACTTATTGCCTGTGTTTTCTTCTAGGAGTTTTATGGCTTCTGGTCTTATATTTAAGTCTTTAATCCATTTTGAGTTAATTTATTGTGTATGGCATAAGATAGTGGTCCAATTTCATTCTTTTCCATGTGGCTCTTCAGTTTTCCCAACACCATTTATTGAAGAGACTGTCCTTTCCCCACTGTGTATTCTTGCCTCCTTTGTTATAAATTAATTGATCATAAATGCAAGGGTTTATTTCTGGGCTCTTTATTCTGTTCCATTGATCTGTGTGTCTGTGTTTATGCCAGTACCATACTGTCTTGATGATGACAGCTTTGTAATATAGTTTGAAATCAGGAGCATGATGCCTTCACATCCATATTTACATTTTTGACATAAAATAACTTCTACTTCTCACTGGTATTATCTAAATAGATGCTCTCCCCACCCCTATTCCCATGCTTTTGTTTTACTTTTTGTCAGGAGTGAAAGACAGGTAGGTGGTATGATTTAGGGGAAAGAACACTGGTATCAGGAACAGCTGACCTTGGATTCTTGTCCTGGCTTTGTCATTGACTAGCTCTGGTATTCCAGGCAAGTCACTTGCCCTCTCTGGTTCATTTCTCATCATAAAACTATAAATCTATAGACGAGATGCTCTGAGGCTAGTTCCAAAGGGACTAAGGGACTAACCATTGGCCTAAGGAACTAAAGGTGAGGGAGAACGGAGGAAAGTGGTAGAGTTTCAGGAAGTGGATTTTGGTCTTTGGTTTAAAAGGTCAGGTTGCCCAAGGGAGCCAGTGGTCATCTCCTACTTTATCCATTGTCCCTGACATTAAGGTTGATGGGAATGGAGTTTCCAACAGCAATCGTTCTATGTAAATTTCAGAAGATGAGATTTTTACAGGTGGGATTTTAGAGGTCTGTCTTCTGTTAACCCCCTTGGTTTTATGGATGATGAAATTGAGGCTGAGAGCTGTGGTAATACGTGCAAAGTCACAGTGGCCTCCTGGATTCCGTTTTCTCTGTTCTCTGTACTACAGATACATACCTTTGACAGGTGCAATGAAATTCTCATTGACAGAATCTTGCTGCAAGATGGTGTATTTCAACAGAATCTATTCTTTATAATAGAGCTGACTGCAAGTAACCATGCCCAATCTTTATAACTGCTTCTGATCTTCATTTGTGATCGCTTTGCTCACATTTAGGAATAATATATGAAAGAAATACTTTGTTAGAAATAGCACCAAGTTGTTACTACATCTATTCTACCTGCTATATTTGTTTTAATACTTTTAAACTTTAGATGTTTCTTTTAAACAATTTGCTTAATTTTGTACAATTTTCTTAACCACAGCATCTAAGCAATTCATTTGATGGTTATAACTGAAATTATTTAAGGTGTAAATGCCTATTAGATCTACCTCATTCATGAACTTGGCTGTAATTCTTGGGCACTTCTCAGACTCCCTT